AGGGAGCAGGAGCCGGAGCCTGCTGTGAGGCTGGCCCTGACTGGTCAGCTGCCAAAGACAGTTCCCCTGGTCCCACCCAGGGAATGTGGGAGAATGGAGAGGCCTGGATGCGCCGACACTGGTCCTCTCAGCCCCTCTTTCCCACCTGACTTACCTGGTAGGGGCATCAGGAACAAGAGGAGCAACACGCCCAGCAGGTACAGGATCCGCATGGCTGACCGGCTTCACAGCAGGCTGAGGCTGGACTGAAAGGTGCACGGGTTCACGTTTATAAAGAGGTAAGCCATGGCTGCAATTCTTGTAATGTCACAGTGATGACAAGATGACGTACTTCCCGATGTGTCATCTCTCTCTCTGCACAGGACACACCCACTCACCCAGGAGCTGGTAGCAGCCTGATAAGCTAGCTATGGACATGGGGACAGCTGCTGTCCTCCAGGCTCAGGGGCCTGGTCGTGTCTGGCTCGAGCCGGCTGTGGGTACGGGCGGGGCTGGTGTGGGCAGGGCCTGTCTTCTCCTGGGAGTGGTGCCAGGGTTCCTGGTTGGGGGTCGACCTATCTGCACTGTGGTACTTTTTAATTTCCTGCATCTTCTTAAAAGACAGAGAGTCTGAGGCCCTCCTGGGAACCAGATCAATCCAGCTCTGGACGTTCTCAGATCTGGGGGTAGGACTGGCCTCAGGTGGTGAGGAAAGAAGAAACATGGGCTGTACCCATTTTCAACTCTTTTATTTGTTCTTTCTAGATGATAGGATATATTTTGACATATCATACATACATGGAATATAACTTGCTATTTTTGTGGCTGTCCCTGATATGGCATTTCACTGGTCATGTGTTCATATATGAACATAGGGAAGTTATATCCGATTCACTTTGTCTTTTCTATTCCCACCCGTCTCCCTTCCCTTCCTTCCTCTTTGTCTAATCCAGTGAACTTCTCTCCCCCCATACCACTTATTGTAAGTTAGCATCCACATATCAGAGAGAAAATTTGGCCTTCGGTTTTTGGGGGATTGGTTTATTTCACTTAGGTGATAGTTTCCATTTCTATTGATTTACCTGCAAATGCCATAATTTCATTCTTCTGTATGGCTGAGTAATAGTCCATTGGGTATATATACCACATTTTCTTTTTCCATTTATCATAGTTTAGCTATTGTGAATTGAACTGCTATAAACATGTATGTGGCTTTATTACTATAGTATGCTGATTTTAAGTCCTTGGCTATATGCCAACGAGTGGGATAAGTGGGCAAAGGGTGGTTCAGAAATGGGCTGTGCTGAAGGGCCCCTGCCTTCACCCCTCATGGTGCTACAGAGAGTGAAACACACCTC